ATTTGCTTGGTCTTGTTTGTTTGTGTGGATTTGCTTGGTCTTGTTTGTTTTGTGTGGATTTGCTTGGTCTTGTTTGTTTGTGTGGATTTGCTTGGTCTTGTTTGTTTTTGTGTGGATTTGCTTGGTCTTGTTTTGTTTTGTGTGGATTTGCTTGGTCTTGTTTTGTTTTGTGTGGATTTGCTTGGTCTTGTTTTGTTTTGTGTGGATTTGCTTGGTCTTGTTTTGTTTTGTGTGGATTTGCTTGGTCTTGTTTTGTTTTGTTTTGTGTGGATTTGCTTGGTCTTGTTTTGTTTTGTTTTGTTTTGTGTGGATTTGCTTGGTCTTGTTTTGTTTTGTGTGGATTTGCTTGGTCTTGTTTTGTTTTGTTTTGTTTTGTTTTGTTTTGTTTTGTTTTGTTTTGTTTTGTTTTGTTTTGTTTTGTTTTGTTTTGTTTTGTTTTGTTTTGTTTTGTTTTGTTTTGTTTTGTTTCGTTAGTGGATCTGTATTTGCTTGTTATCATTACCGTTTAGCGAGTATTACTAAAATACATAATTTTTTACACGCTCCTAATAGTTTGTACGTAGTATCATATACATTGAAAAATGACACAGACTTTCCGTAGTCCTAGCTTCATTTTATTACTTACTTTACATTAAAGGGGCATTACGTAACATTTTTGCACCAAAAATGAAATATTTTGATAGAAAATATCTTCCTGTGATTATCATTTACTTCCACTTTTCAGAGGATAAGCACCATATTCACAGACCAATAAAGGTACATTTTGTTTATGAAATAGACCTCCCTTCCAGTTCACATTGATTACAAAGATAGTTCAAGATATTCAGCTACAATACCAAATAGCCAATACACCACGCACCTGTACAGTAGTCCATATATAGTATCACCTTCATAAAACTCTGCTTCTTAGGGTTATCTTTTAATAAAAACTAAAAATTTAACAATCATAAACCTCCCCTAATGCAGCATAGTTTCAAATTATCAAACAGTATGATACAACCCAACTCAAGACCACAACACATGAGTAGAAATAAGCTGAATGAAGAATTTGTTTTAAATTCGGGAAATTCTGGTTATATCCCCTTCACTCTAGAGGCGTAGTGAGCCGGCTATTCGAAGTACACTCTTCAAAATTCGAGGGACATTCCAAATACTCAGGGTTTTTGCTTCTCATTTGAATGCTATCAGAATGTTTCGAACGCGTTTAGAATGCTGTTGGAGTATTTAGAGTGCTGTTAGAATACTGAGTTAGAATACACTTCGAATGCCCATTGGTATTTTTCCACTTCGAATGTACCTCGAAGAATGGTCACAAATATTTGGAATCTAGAACGAAGAATTTTCTAGAATGCACTTCAAATATCCAGGATTGGAAAATACTAACAAATTTCTTCCAGATGACATTCTAGTTTATTCCGCCTCTCGTGTGGGGGTATTATCGAAATATATACTAGTACTAGTATATGAAAAACATATGACAACAGTCTAGTGTTTATTACTCTTGATTCATTGAAAATATGACAACAGTCTAGTGCATCGTTCTTACTCTTGATTCACTTTACGTGTGACGAGTGTTGTTTTTATGATTTTGTGAGGCGTACAACATTCTTCTCCTATTCACTGCTACATGATATCTTGCCTTTGCTTACGTGGATATGAGGTATATAAATACTGTAGGGTATATCGTATATTATAAACAAATTCGTATAAAATAAGTTGCTATATATGTACGTGCACTTTTTGTTACATACATGTATATGCAGCTTCCCTCATCCAAATATATACCTGGTTGTCGTTCAATTGTTATCTTGACACACCTTGTAAACAAAATTGTCTTCAGCACGTAAATGAAGACAGGGCAGTGCTAGGTTCTACTCAAACTTTATAAATCCATGGCAATAGCTACATATTCTGCGCCCTTCATAAAGCCAATTATGGCTGAAAAAACTCGCAGGCTTAAACCTTGTCATTTTTGACAGACATTCTTGAAGACATTTTCTCAATTTCTCAAACACTAGATCACATACTAGACAGTAAGTCTTCTACGTCTGGCTCCCCGTCCTCTCGCCTGTCGACGTCGTAGTGCACCAGTAAGGCTGCGGCGATGCAGGCGGTGAAGGCCAGCACGCTGGAGCACACCGTCACGGAGATGACGCTGCCCACGGCGGCCACGATGGAGCCCATACTGGCGCCGATGACGATCTGAGACAGCTGGTTTTGGGAGGACACCAGCGCGCAGTCGATCCCCATGCCGCGGCGCTCCGACCCGTCCACGCCGCACCGAATGTACTGTGGACGAAAGGGGGAATCTTCGTGTGAAACAACTTCAGTAGTTTCCTAACGTCACTGTCATACATTCAAGACCTCGACCACAAACCAACCAACCAAGGTTGCCGGTAGCTTTGGAGCAGTTTGACTAGATTCAGGCCACACCTACTTTTCGATAAAAATAGAATCATGCCTTCGAGTACCAGAGTTATCAACCAAGGATTCATGTATTCTTCTCTAGGACTATCGCAGAGTGGAACTCGCTGCCACCAAGTACAGTTGGGGCATCATCACTAGATAGCTTTAAACAATGCTTAGATGTTCAAAGGTTCAGTGTAACAGGTAGTTGAGCTGCCACATACAGTCATGCGTGAGAGGCCAGGTGTTTAGGGTTAGGGTTAGGGTTAGGGTTGGTATAGAAATAGGGTAGAGTTTTGATCATTATTTAGGGCTAGGGTTAGACTTGTATTTGGCAGGATCATGTATATGGCTTGACACCGGGTCAGTCAGCTGCCGTGTATCAGCGAAGCAGGAGTGTTACGCCGAAGAGCGGTTATACCGACTATGCAGATAGCACCAACCTAAAGTTACCCTTTGATTCAGCCCTCTATTCGCAGCCTTCGATTGGGCCCTCAATTCGACTTGGCGGGCACGTAGAAGGCTGTCTACGAAAAAGTGCGCACCAAGTCGAATCGAGGACTGAATCGAAGGCTAACTTCAGGTTGGTAAGATAGCTACAGAAAAGTTTGAAAGCAAATTTGAAGTGCCGTACCGTTTGACTGGTGTGGTACCGTGAGATGAGTTTGTAGGGGATGTTGTTGAGGGTGCCGTACATAATCCCCATGACCGGACACAGGAAGATGATCTCCCAGCGCACCTCCGTCAGCTGGGCGATGATGGCCATACTGCCGATCCCTGCGCCGAACGCCAAGTACCCGAAGATGTACATGGTCCGGTACGACAGGTGGTTTAGGATCCGTCCAAAGCACACTGTAACAACGGAAATAAAATAATCATTTGATGAGTGAATATCATCAAAATCATAAAAATCATCAAAATCATTCTAAAGATCATCAAAATCATTGATTTTTAAAATCATTATAAAATCATCAAAATCATTCTGAAGATCATCAAAATCATTCTGAAGATCATCAAGATCATTGATATAAAATCATTTTGAAGATCATCAAGATCATTGATATAAAATCATTATAAAATCATCAAAATCATTTAAAGATCAAAATCATTGATTTTTTAAATCATCAAAGACATTGATCTAAAAATGCCACAAAATCATCAAAATCATTTTACGACCATCAAAATCAGTAATTTGAAGAAATCATCAAAATCATAACAATCATCATAATCAGGGAATCAAAATCATCATACGAAGAGTCACCAAATGAGCTTGTGACGTTGAGTACTGATCAAGAGGAAGCTTCTAAGGGGAGTAGAAAAATTAGATGAATAGCTTTAGATTAAGTCATTAAGATGTACCAAACCTTAAAAATTCAGCATAAGGAAGGTTCAAGAAACACCAGATGATTCAGAATAGAGTCTGGAGATAGTTTTGAGATGTCCTGTTGAGATGTTGAGTCACCTGCCATGTCGACCACAGTGTTATACATGAAGACATGTCACCGGTACCTGAAGATGTTAGTTAGAATCCATGTTAGGTATGAAGCGACCAACAACCGTCTCTGAGATCAGGACACACACACACACACACGCTCACACACACACACACACACACACACACACACACACACACACACACACACACACACACACACACACACACACACACACGCTCACACACACACACACACACACACACACACACACACATACTGACAAACACCTGAACATGAAACAAACATCTGAACA